GTATAAATCGCTTAGTGTGACGAATGCGATTCAACACGCCATACACTTTTTGCAATTTACACTTGTCATGTTCTTGAAAAGTAAAGTTTTCGTCAAAAATAACACCAAGGTTCTTTATTGACTTACAGAATTCGATTTTTTCATCACCTAATTTCACTTCATTGATCATATCAAAATTCAACCGACCCGTTTGATGCTTTGATCCAATGATCATTACTTTTGACTTTAAACTATTTATAATCATACCGCGACGTTTAAGAAAATCATTCAATTTGGCAAGGTCCGAGTTTATTTTATCGATACCGTCGTTAATTTTATCAAAATCCACTTCGATATGTGCTTGACAATCATCCGCGAACAAATGGCCTTTCATATTTTCAAACACATTGAGAGCATCATTAAAGTAAAGAGAGAAGAAAGTTTGGCCGAAATTACTACCTTGCAATACTCCATTATTAATTGGAACAAAATTTGACTCTTGATCACCGACTTTAACTTTTTGCTGAATGTTACTATAAATTGATTTAATTAATTTAACCGCGCTATTAGAAAAACCATACGATTCACAAACTTTTAAAAGAGCATCATGAGGAACTGACGGGAACGCGCTTTTAATATCAAGAGCTAGAAGAATTACTAATTTTTTACGATTCAATGACGATCTGATACTCTCCGATATGTTCAATGGTGAGGTGGTACAACTATGGTTTTTTCTAAAACCAGATTGCCGTTCGTGAAGAATAGCATTTGATTCTATATAACCAGTGACCTGGCTATTCAATGAAATCGCGAAAATCTTGGGGATGACTGAGATTATGCTGATTGGTCTGTAATCAGAAATTGATTGGGGACTTGTTACTTTATTAAGAGGTTTAATAATAACTTTATTCCAATCGGCTGGATATACGCTATGAGAAATACAAAAATTAAAAATGTAAACAATATGCTGGGCAATTGAAGGCATAATTAGTTTGAGGAATTTAAGAGGAATGCCGTCGTCACCAATTGCATTACTCTTAATTTGTTGAAAAGCAAAAAGAAATTGATCAATGGTTATTTCATGAAATGAGAAATTAGAATTAATATTAGTGGGAAGTGACAAATTGCCTAAATCGGCCCCGTGAGAAGCGTGAATTGACGCAAAGAAACCATTGATGTCATCCAGATTGAAATTATCGAGGATTTCAGAATCATTTCTGAACGCTTTATTCTCATGCTTTATTCGCAAAGTTTTAGAAGAAAGTTCATACGCTGTCATCAATGTATTTACATTGGCTGTATAGTCTGATTGGTAATTTGATAATGAACATAGAAATCAACACTTTACAAAGTGTAGTTTTGGACGAACATACGTGAAACCATTTGAATTGAACCGATAATACCGAATATTTGATTGAGTGCTGTTGTAAAATACACACAGTGGTTATAGACGACCTTCTTTGCACATAGATACAATGCTCAATTTTAACCTTTTGTCCGTGCTCTCATTTTTCACTACATTCCCGTGCTCTCGGGCACACAGTGCCCGTAGTACATTTTGTATAAAAACTGGGTGGTGATAATAGATAACGGCTTGGTGTCTTCAGCAAAGTTGTAGTACTCTGACCGCTCTACATCTTTTACGAAAAAACTACAAACATGTGTTTTAAGATTGCTGAGCATCTCAGCATTTCGTAAGGCACGGATATATCCGAGCATATCGACGACGCATACAGTGGCGTGCGTTGCTACGCGCAGCCGCAACGACTCGAAAAACCACGGAAAAAGCGAAGTTAGTGCTGCTGACGTCAGCTCAAAACACGCTCTAATGCTTTCAGTGGAATCGCTTCAAATGTCTACGTTCTTCGAACTTCCATGTACACTGTACAGTGTATACACATGTACTTCTTCCAAATTCGAAAAGTTAATTACAATCAGTAATACCATCGAAAATGCATAGCAATCGTATTTGTCCAATACGTACAATAAATGTGACGCGCATACAAAGAAAGTGGATTCTTAATTTAGAGCCAATTTCCTATGCTCATTTAAATTGAGCGTATCTTTTTGGAAAACATTTCGTGGGCATCGGTTTGCTTAAGTCCTTCGGCATGATATATATGCGTGACAATAGCAATTAATAGTCATTCCGCTTGTTTCCATTAAATAGCACAAACAAAATCAAATATATTTTAATGAATTTTTATTCATTCCTAGAAACAGATCACTTCATCAGAGAATTGAATTTGCTATCTGGACAGCGACTGTCGTTCAACAGCAACTGTTATTTGCGTTGCTGTACATACTAAGTATAGCGCGCAAACTTGAACAAACAAACGAAGCTGTGTGTGTATTCATGCCTGTTGATGTTTGCGCGCGAGACCTACACAGTGTATCGCATGCATAATAAGAAATTCCTATTAGGTACTGTTGAGCAGCCGCTGTCCAGATAGCAAATTCAATGCTCTGAAAATTTACAGTTAACAACAGAGAGTCCTGTTGAAAGTAATCCACATATCCTACAAATAAAACAATGGTTATTTAAATATAATTAAATATAATTTGTTTTTGTTTGTTAAAACAATTTGTAAGCTTCAAAATTTTGAACATTCGATTTGAATAATTACTAAGGAGCATGTGCTATATATCTCAACATTATGTGTAATTATTGACCAACTCGTAGTTAACTTTCGAATTGAAAATGGTATTCATTTTTGTTCTGTTCTGTTCTATCGTCAGAGATATAACATCGATTCAAATTTAGTGGAAATTTTGACTGTATTCGATCAAGTCTTGTTGATTTATTCGCCAAAAATATCATGGATTCGTCTAGCACTAGTGAAGTCATACGATCAAATCAATCCAACAACAAAGTTCCAACCATTACGTTTAGGAAAAAAATCGAAGTGCTAAAATATAACCAGATCTTTATGTCGTGGATCGGTATTTATTCGTATCGCTTAACTGAACCGACAAATGAGTTTGGCAAAAATAAAATCGCCTATCTCTTTGTAACGATTATAATTATGGGCATAGTATTGAGTGTCGTGTATATTTTCGTCACTTACACAGACGTGTCTGAGTTTCAAGTTGTATTGGTGGCAGTTGCTGTGATCATAGGTGCATCTCAAGCAGGCGGTGCTTATACTAACATCGGTCTACAAATGAAAAAAGTCAAATTATTGCAACTCGAGTTACAAGAGATCGTTGATGAAGGTGATTTAATGCGTTTTGTAGAGCAAAAAATCATTTTTTTTTAATGCAAAAATTATTTTTAGTTACTGAAAACGAGGTGATCGAAATCTACGATATCTACAATAAGAATGAGTTGATGTGTCGAAAACATACAAGAACCATGGGCTTGTATATTTTTGTCAATCAATCCACATACATAACTGCATCGTTGTACTCGATTTTCTGTATGACATCTGGCAATTGGGACACAACAACTTGGCCGTTGCCATTTGACTTTGCCGTTCCATTTAATGAATACACCATTTTGGGCTGGTATTTAATGTGTCTTGCACAATTTAGTGTGAGTCTCTGCTATGCCGTGGGATTGATTTCGGTGTCATCTTACTTTTTCTGCTCCTGCAAATACATTGTCGTCTGTTGTGAACATTTTCGCTTATTAATTCATTCGGTTACTGCAATGTTTGCACCGAAAGAAGAAGGAATAGTTGTGAAGAGGACGAAGAAACAATTTGGTAATACGAAGAATGAATCGAAACTACTAAAAGCCCAGAAACAAGTGAAACGCGCCGTTGAACTACATTTGAAAATTTTTGAGTAAGTTTAGGCACGGAAGAGAAAAAATTGTTCGTTTTTCCGTTTTTTGTCGCATTTTTACAGATTCAAGAGTTTTATCTCTGTTTTGTAGCATATTTGATATTCTCGCGAGCATCCATAGCGGTACAATATTTTCGATTTTTCTGCCGAATGCGGTTCTTATGGGGATTTCCCTGTATGATTTTGAACATGTAAGTTATATTTAGACTTAGATTAAATAGCTGATTATTATCAGTCGGTTGTGGAAGCCAAAATTAGCTTCCCTCCTCGATGAGAATGCTATTAAATGGACCGTAATGTAGCCTATCGATTTTAATAATTTAATTATTTTTTTTCCACATCTCACGTAATTTTTATTCCACAGTCATTGGCTAAGATGGACTCGTACGGCCTTTCGTTTGCTATTCTTTGCTTGATTTGTTCTTTAATTTGGCCATTTCTTCTGTGTAACTTTGCGACTTTTGCTACCCAACGAATGAAATTCATTGCATATGATGCATACGATTCGAATTGGTACGACTGTCCTTATCAATTGCAAAAGAATATGATTTTGATCATCGGTCGAGCATCGCAGAGATCATGCTATATTACTGGATTCCGCATAATTCGATGCAACTTGAAAACTTTGGCAATGGTACGGTGATTTTTGGCATTTTTAACCACAGTGGACCATATTCATCCGTGAATATTTAATTCAATAAAAATAACCATTTACTTTCCACAGTTTCTTCGGTCGGCTTGCTCATACTACTTAACATTCCGAAGATTTTCATTCATCGAATTCATCAAAAAATGAACATTTGTGTCTCAATTTTATGGATCGATCATGGAATTCATCCGAAGGAATCTAGTTTGGTCAACAGAGGTGCAAGAAGAAGGTGTCCATCTTTTTCTCAATATGTTTTACAGCATTTAGAGTCAACATTACTGCTCACACTACCTGCACTTTAGAAGAATTGCACGAAGCTAGATTTTCACTGGGTGTATTTTTCCCTACGAAATTATACCATCCAGAACAAGGTTTCTGTGTCTGTTTTCAAAATTTCATTTCTTTTGCAAATAAAATATAATAAACACTTCTCTCTGAGTTCCATCACATGGAATGATACGTGTGACGGCATATTTATTATTATTTATTGATTTGTTAAAAGTGATTAGACTTTGTCTATTATTATGAACACTCTTTGTATTTTGCATCGTATAAAAAACCACTAAAGTAAAACGGAATAAAATGAACTTTTTGTTGTTGTTGATTATTTATTAATAGCCAATTCCGATTTCTTATTCATAAAGTATGAAGTAGTTCCGAAATATCAACTGGTACAATCCCTTAATGCGGTTTACCATTGCGTGTGTTTGACCACACTAAATCATAACACATGTTGAAAATACATAACATATGCATGAGGCCACAGTGTTAAGGTTGGAATTTCAGTCCTTTTTTTTCAAAACAACATCGATTAAATTACCTTGTTTACAAGAGAAAATATGAAACTGTTCATCAACATCTGAAACGGTAAAATGACACATCTATCTAATTTTTAAATTGAGCCATGATTGAATATGCTCGCAAATTAAATTTTTTCAAATCGTCTTATTCAAATATCCATTATTTGTGATACACACATACGTGTGCCATGTTCTGAAAATGAAATGCCAATGTCGTCGCAAAGAATATGCTTATTTTAGCGATATTATGACGATTAATCGTCCATCGGAAATTTAATTGAAGTAGAATAGTGAATAGTGAATAGAGTATAAATAAGACAATAATGTGACATCAATGTGCTAATGAAAAAGTTGTGTAGTAACGCAGTGAATGAGTGAACAGTATGAGTGCTGGTAAACGACTGATTTATTGTACGATTCTTAATACTAATGAACAATAGCTGTCAGTGTCAGTGATGACAGATACTTATGCTACATCTCCCTTTTTCTAACTGTGTCCTTTGCCTCCCTTTTTTTCCAAAAATATATGTATATGTTATTTATTTTCATTTACTAAATGTATTCTTAATCTCAATTCAAAGAAGGCAGGAAACAATATTCAAGAGAAATAATCTAAGCTAAATGAAAAAAAAATTGAATGAAAATTTTACTTCAAAAAACAAGATTTCAATAAATAACACCAATTAATAAGTTCGGCCACTCCGTGTGCATTTTCGATGAACGTGGGCTATCGGTGTTTGATTTGTTTTGTCTTGGTTCGTGTTTTCATTAAATATTCGAATGTGCCGTGTGTTCCGACGATAGTCTCGACCGTTAGATCGAACAACATATGACCGTGGTGTATCGTGTTTATCAACAACGTTCCCGTGTTGCCATTTGTCGTTGTTTCTGAATAAAACGCTTTGTTCATTTTTTAAGTCGAGGTTTCTCGGCTTGGCACATTTGTCGTAATATGATTTACAGATCTTTTGCTTTGCTTGTTGTTGTTTTTCGACGTCAATGCATAATTCGGGTCGAAATTTATCGATGTGCATTGGCAATTCAGTTCTCAAATTTCGATTTTGAATTAGCTGAGCTGGCGAATATGACATGTTTTTGGTTGGTGTGGTGCGGTATGCGAGCAATGCTCTGAGAATATCTTCTTCATTCTCTGACTTCCTTAAAATATTTTTACAAATACCGACCGCTTTTTCAGCCATTCCGTTTGACTGTGGGAAATTAGGGCTGCTTGTAATGATTTCAATATCATGCTTTTTTGCGAATTGTTTGGTTTCATAAGAACCCATTGGCATATTATCTGCAATTATTATATGTGGGTAACCAAATGTAGCGAATAGCCTTAATAATTCTGTATTTACATGATGAGCAGTTTTGCCTTTCAATTTAACTAATTCTATCCACTTCGAATAGAAGTCAACTACGACAAGAAAACTCTTTGATTTAAAATCTAAAATGTCGCATGCAATTTTCTTGAACGGTTCATTCGGAATGTCATGTGGCAAGAGCGGCTCTTTTTGAATTTTCGGCGCATTCTCTTGACAAATAATGCAATTTGAAACTGTTTGCTCTATTTCATTGGAAATGTTTGGCCAGAATACTGAATTTTGGGCACGTTTGAGCGTTTTGTTTATGCCGAAGTGCGGCTTATGCAATTGGTGCAAAATTTCTTTTCTCATGGATTTTGGAATGATTATTCGTTGTTTATAGAACAGGATTTCGTCTTCGAGCAATATGTCGGACCTGAGTCTATAAAAATATCTCGTGGATGGATCGCATTTGTCTTTATTATTTGGCCATCCGAATTTGCAATATTCCTTGATTTGCTTTAAAATTTCATCATTGTTCGTCTCTTGCTGTAATTCGATTTTACGCGCGTCTGTCACGTTAATCGACAAGATCGACTCAGTAATTGATTGATCTTCCGAAACCTTTTCACTTTTGCTCATGTATCTCGATAGATAATCCGCTAAAACTATCGTTTTGCCAGGTGCATGTTCAAGAATTATGTCATAATTGAGTAATTTAAGTCTCATTCTCTGTAGTTTTGCTGACGCTATTTTGTGTATTTCTTTATTCATGATTCCAAGAAGGGGCTTGTGGTCGTTGACAATTCGCACTGTTCTGCCGTAAGTGTAGAAATGAAACTTTTGGCAGGCGAAAATAATTGACAACATTTCTTTTTCAATTTGAGAGTAATTTCTTTCAGAAGCGGTTAGGCTGCGTGACGCAAACGAAATTGGTTTGCCATCTTGAATCAAACCACATCCTAAGCCACCCTGTGACGCATCACATTGAATAATTAACTCTTTTGAAATGTCGAAAGGCACGAGAATTTCCGAATTAAGAATGCATTTTTTGATCTCATCGAACACTTTGTCATGTAACTCTGTCCAAAGGAAAAGAACATTTTTCTTTATCAATTCACGCAACGGAGCCGTTCGATCTGACAAATTAGGTATGAACGGAGTCATGAAATTCACAACTCCAAGAAATGTTTGTAAATCATTTTTGTTCTTTGGTCGTGTCATTTCAGCAATAGCTAAAAGACGTTCTGGATCAGGCTTGATTTGATTATATGAAAAAATGTGACCTAAATATTTCACTTCTTCTAATGCAATTTGTGCTTTGTTTATGTTGAAGCGTACATTTTTTTCTCTTGCGCGGTCCAAAACCTTTTTCAATACTTCATCGTGCTCTTTTCGTGTGCGACCCACTATTAAAATATCATCAAAATAAATCATTACATTTTCAATGTCTCCAAAGTTCTCAAAATTCAATTGTTGAAACACGCCAGGAGCGGTTTTTATCCCAAATGGCAATCTTAAGAATCTGTAATTTCCATAGGGAGTTGCGAAAGTGCAAAGTTTTTTCGATTCTTCATCTAATTTAACGTGCCAGTAACCATCTTTCAGGTCTAATACTGTGAAATATTTCATGCCATTTAATTGTGATGACACATCTTCAAAAGTTGGAATAAATGCGTGTTCATTGAAAATACTTTTATTTAATTCACCTGGATCGATGCATAATCGCAGTGATTTTTCAGCGTCTTTTTTCTCAACGGTGACTAAATGATTCACCCATTCACAATAACCGGTAGCCTTTTCGATTATTTTATTCGCAACTAATTCATCTAATTTCATTTTTAATCTGTGTCTAATTGCCAATGGTACTCTACGCGGTGCGTGAGCGATTGGTGTTGCATTTTTGTCAACGCTGATTTTGTATTCGCTATTGAAACATCCGAGGCCTTTAAACAAATCAGGATAACTTTTCAACACAGACTCTTTGTCAAGGCTAACTTGATCTAGTCATAATTTTTTAGTTTGATACGCGGTATTTGTGAATGTGCGCGATTCAACTGTTGGCGAGACTAAACCAAACTGAATGGATGATTTCAAACCGAGAATAGGCATTATGTCAATATCAACAACAGCTGTTTTCATATCACATGACTTTTTGTTAAATTTGCCAAGCAGAGAACACATACCGACTGGTTTCAATTTTTCCCCGCTGAAGGCTCGTAATTTGACATTCGTTCGATGCAATTCGATCTCCGTTCTCAACTGAAGGAACACACTCAGTGGAATCACATTGACTTGGGCACCGGTGTCAATTTTAAATGCAACCAATTGTCCTCCAATCCATATCTTCTCAATCCACGGATAGCTCACTTCATCGTCATCATCTTCAATGGCGTAAACCTTTTCAATTGATGAAATTAAAAATTCTTCATTATCACTAATTTCACAATTTGATTCATATGCTGAAACGGCTGAAACATTTTTAGATCTACAAACAGAACTGTAATGATTTTTACGTGAACATGCTGTACAATTTTTACCGTAGGCTGGACACTGTCTAATCTTGTGTGTTAATGCGCAATATTTACAATTTACAATCATTTTATCAGACCTGTCAACGTTGCTTGTGTTACCATTACGGTTTGTGTTGTACGTTTGTTGTTGTTGCTGTCCTCTTCCTTCATTCGCACAGTCGCTTCGATTTGCTTTGCTGCTGCCGCTGTTGTTGCCACTTTTGTACTGCTTAGTGTTGTTGTTGTTGGATTTGTGCTGCTTGCGGTTTTGTGTGTGTTTCTTACCGGCCACGTGGCTGCTTTCTTCGAATGCATTCACAGAGACTGTTTTATTCATGCTCGTCATTTGCTCGCTTGTCGCTTCGTGCGTGCGGCACTTATCCACTGCTTTGGTGTAGTCGAGGTCGGAAATTTCGAGTAATTTTCGCTGTAGTCGTTGGTCGTTCACTCCCATGACAATTTGGTCTCTGAGCATTTCGTTTTCTTTGTCGCCGAATTCACAAGTGCTCACGAGCTGCCTAATGTGAATCAAAAACGTATCGAATGGTTCACCATCATTTTGCTTTCTTTGGTAGAACCTGTATCGCTCGTAGACTGTGTTCTTTTTTGGTGTGCAAAAATCGTCAAATGCCTTCACCACTTCTGTGTATGACTCTCTTTCGACTGCTGTCATGTTAAATGAATCGAAATTTCTCACGGCCTCTTCTCCGACAGCATTGAGCAGGAGGTTGATTTTAACTTTGTCATTTTTTTCAGTCAACTCACCCGCAATCAAAAAAATGTCGAAGTTTCGTTTGAATCGTTTCCAGTTTTCACTCAAATTGCCTTCAAATTTCAATTTTGCAACTTTCGTCAAATGCTCACTCATCTTGCTTGTTGATGTCCGGTTTTCAGTCACTTGTTCGATGTCGCTATCATCTTCAGAGTCTGGCAATTGATATTGCGCTGCTTCATTCAGTGCTCGGCTTGATGCATTGGCTCGTTGTAGTTGCCTTATATCCCGCAGACTCATCAACCGTTTTGGTGCTCGTTCTATCCCTAATTTTTCGTTTCTTTTTTCTCGTTTCTTTTGTTTTGACCAACTTGCGGCGTATGATGCACCAGAACGTGTTCTCATTTATGCGTGAATTTAACGTTGCGACAGAAACTTGCAAAATCAATCATAATTTCCAAACGTCCATTACTTTTTTACTCTTTTATCAATTTAACTAAATTTTATGCAATTTTATTTATTTTTCGATCGGCGATTAAATGGATTTTTTCTGATTTTATTGGTTCATTGTTCGCAGCGCCATGTAGTAACGCAGTGAATGAGTGAACAGTATGAGTGCTGG